TTAATCTAATTAGTTGGACTGTTTATTGATCATGGCTACAATATGATTTATTATTGTAAATAAACTGATAAGTTGCTGGTCCTCTTTGGCATTACAAGAACTTCCACGTCTCAAATTTAGCGATAAATATATACAGGACCCAAGGTGAGCACTTTAACGCCTTGTACCAACTCAAACGAAACGATTTTGGATATAGGTAAGTTGGCTAAAATCAACCTATTTTTATCCCAGGAGTCTACAGTCAAGCCATGTCCCAACCAGATTATTTTTCTTAAAAATGCATGAGATGCCTCAGATCAGAAATTATTCATTCGCAAATAATCCTGAAAAAATAACAAGATACAAAAAATATTTCTGAAGGGAATATCTTTCTGGAAAAGAAACTGGAAGTTTCCAGTCCGACCTCTGAAAAGTTGTCACCAAATTTGAACGGCAACATATTTGTTCTAAATACTTGCAGGTCACTGATGATGATCAAAAACATCTCAAAACGTGACTCACAGTCACAGAACATGCCATGCCAAAAATTATGAAAATCAATCTCAGCCTACTCTTTTCATGAGCAAAATTATTTTTTCCGAAAAAACTTCAACGCCTTGTACCAATTTTACGAGACGATTTTGGATATAGGTAATTTGGCCAAATCAACTTGTTTTCATCCCAGGAGTCCATAGCCGAGCCCTGTATAATGTTCACCTTCAACAATGACGTGCGTTCAAGCACTGACTCTGATATATTATATGAACACAAAAATTGTACCTATGCAATGGTGTCTTGCAGAATAGAAGTTATGAGCTATCAAAAATTATATTTCTCATAAAAACTGCTGGTAACCCTATAATATTAGAACCGTGCGTGTTCTCATTAGAAATTACAAATCTTTGAACTGATTTTCTCATACAAACTCATTCGATACATTTTGGATTGAGCATGCATTGTCTGATTGAAACTAGTAAACAGATTCCGCATAAAACCTCTTGTTTTATTATTATCATCATATAACAACTGTCAATCATTGTCATTAATCCTCATAAGATTCAATAATATATATTTTGAACTTGAAAATATTGTACTATTGAAAACTCACACAAACTTATAGGGAACATTTTATATTGGACATGAACTGTCTGATCCAAACTCGTGAAGCATCATGAAAAAACTCTGCGAAAAAGCATCTCGATATACTAGAAGTCATAACTATATATCCTCATCAACCCTCAAGAAGTCTATAACACATTATATCCTTAGCTTCAGCATTAGCTTCAGCATTGTCTTCACAAACCTCGAAAACATACACATCCCATTCAAACTCATTAGATGCCATTTAGATTAGGCATGTATTGTCCTATCTAAACTTGTGAATCCTTATACAAAAATTCTGCATGAAACCTCTCAACATACCATCGAAGTCATAACTGTATATCCTTATCAACACTCATGAATTCTGGAACACATACAGCCCCAGCTTGACCCATAGGATTCGTTTCATTTCAAATCAGTATTGTCTTTTCAAACTACAAAAATCTTCAGAACATACACATCTCATACAAACTAATTAGTTACCATACAGATTAGACATGTATTGTCTTATCAAAACTCGTGAATCCCAATAACGCATCATTCATTTCAACGTATGGATACAGTCATAACGGTGAATCCCTATCAACTCTCATGAATCCTTAAACAAACATTTCCTCATGAGATACATATCTCTTAAAAAATAATCAGATACATTTCGAATCAGACATGTATTGTCTAATCTAAAATCTTGAATCATTATACAGCAATCCCGCATAAAACCTCTCGAAATACCATTGGAGTCATAATGGTATACCTTTATCAACACCCATCAGTTTTGATACACATCAAGCCTCAGCATGACCCATAGGATACATTCCGTTTCAAATCAGTAATGTCTTTTCAAACCCTAAAAATCCTCAGAACTAACACATCTCATACAAACTTATTAGATACCATTCAGATTAGGCATGTATTGTCCAGAATTCTTAGACAGAAATAACGCATGAAACATCATAACATACGAATACAGTTATAACGGTAAATCCTTATCAACACTCATGAATTCTGGAACACATCTCACCTCAGCTTGACTAATAAGATACGTTTCATTATAGATCAGTAATTTCTTATAAGAAATCTCGAATACTTGAAACCACATATACCACATACAAACTCATCAACAACCGATAGAATCATGGCAGCAGTTCCCTATTGAATATCATAATTTATCGAACACTTTTCATCCTCACAAAAACCCATGAAATACGTTAAAGATTATATCTATATTGTCTTCCAAAAACTTATGATTACTCAATAATTATTTACCGGATTCAAGCTGATAAGAAACCTATAATTTTAGAACCGTGTGTTCATATTTGAGCTCATAAACCTAGAAACTAGTTGTCTTATAAACACTCATTGGACACATTTCAGATTAGGCATTCATTGTCTAATTGAAACTCGTAAATTCTCAGTTATTCTGAGTCACATGAATGCTAATAGAAATCGCATTAAATTAGATAAGGAATTCCTTAGTGAAACTCTAAAATCCTGATATATTTTTTTCCTGACGATACCCAATAGAATTCTATTTGTAAATTCCTACACATTTCTCATATATACTAAGGCGCATGAATGTGCATAGAATACTTTTCCAATTGGAAGTGGAATATCTTATTGGTGGTCATAGGCTCCTCAAACCACTTGTGCCTGATAAAAACTCTCATACTCCATATTTGTATACGCTTATAAATCACATATACTCATGAAATATCATTAAACCTTTTAGAAAGTTCATGTGCCAGAGATAATGTTCTCATACGGTACAGAACTCGGTTATATATCCTTATTAATACTCATATTTTATCTATATTTCTTCATGAGACTTCATAAGGTATTTTTGGCAGGGATCTTTTGCTGCATTCACTTTTCACTGATAAATTTTAAATTTGATCGGTATTGAAAACGCCATTCAATGATATTGTGATGATATTCACCTTGAAGGGGCTATAGAACATCACCAGGAAGGCAGAGGTACAACGATCACCCAGTAACACGTGTCCCGGATCACGCTCGATTCTTATACATGTACCAGCGTATTTCTGAACACCCAATATATGTCACGGCGACACATAACCTGATAGAAGGATCATTTCGAAACAATCGATGGAACATTAAGAGAGATTATTTGTTCTAGAAGCCTCTAGAACAAAAGAAGGGTACGGAATATCATTCGAGAACGTTCGAGAAGCAAAGCCTGCCAAGGGATCTGATACATATATAAGGACGGCCGGACAACTGCCGTCAGTAGGTCAAGTAGCGAGTGCCAGAGAGACAGTCATATATGTAATATATATCACACGGCAATTTAAATTGCTTTACATAAAATATAGTAGTCATAAGTTCGATATAAATTAGTGTTCCTTTGGTTAAAATGAAAATAAATAGGTTCGTGTTCGCTTCTGCACCCGAATAACGTAACAATTGGTGTCAGAAATGTGGGATAATCCCAAGTAATCCAGTGTGAAGTGAACAGCGTTCAAGAACATTCAAAAACACAAACAGTTGTCATTTCTGTGTCCGAACTCTTATATAGGGTGTTTCCTAACTACGGTTCCTAACTGCAGGTGGTGATTAGCTAGTTCATTTTAGGAAGAAAAGTTCCTATTAACGTATGTCCGGAGTTGCTTCGTTTCTGAGATACAGGGCGATAAAGTTGAAGAAGAAAAAACGGTAATTACAAAATATCATGAATATCCTGCAATCGATTTGGTTGAAATTCTGTACTTTTATTCGAATTAATAAGGCGCTTATTTAGCCCTTTTTAGATTGAAATTATTGGGGCCAGTGCCGTCTCAGTGGGCACCACAGCCAACAGTATTGTAAAAAATGTTCGCCGCTGACTTTTTTTGGTGAATTTCAATTTTTTTTAAATTGAGCAACTCAAAATACAACTTTTTGGTCTCTTGTTTTTTCTTAATATCCAGCTTCGTTTTCGAGAAAAAAAAATTAAACCCACTGTATTGCATATCATGAACACCTGCATTGGAGAAATGAGTTTTTCATTATTTCCGGCAAAAATATAATCGACACTTGATATATACAAATAAAAGTACCAAATTTCAACCAATTCGGTTCCAGGATATCCATGATATTTTATAATTACCGTTTTTTTTTTTTTAATTTCAACGCTCTCAATCTCAGAAACGAAGTAACTCCGGACATATGTTTATAGGAACTTTATTTCTTCTTTAAATTACCTAACAAATCACCCCCTGCAGTTAGGAACCGTAGTTAGGAAACACCCTGTATACCATCCAGTGACTCAACACAACAGTAATAAATGAACGCTTGGTTACGTCAAACTGGAATCCACCGAAGAATAAATTAACACAGGTGGATTGATGGAACCACCGGTGAATAAAAGAATGTCCCTATAGTGACTCTAGTCCTTATTATGTACGTTAGATAATTATGTCCGTTTGTCCTGCGCGTTGCTAGGTGACCTGTGCCCGCGTTTGGCGCGGTTTCTCCACCGCGATGATTATTTTTTCCTCCTTCCTCTAGACGCTAGACGCTAGCCTTGGTGACAATAGACTTACTCGCGTTCACAGAACAGTACGCATTTTTTTCGTGAAACTGCGCATGCTTCTGATGGTTTTGGACTGTTTATTTCTCGAACGCGAACAAACCTTATGGTGACGTAAAAAATGGTTGCTAAATCGTTTCGAACACGGTACACGGTTCAACAAGAAAAACCAACTTATATAAATATGTCATTTGTCCCTCTTTCTTCCAAAAACATTCCCTCTCCTCATTGTCAAAACGGTCAAAGTCAAATCTGAAAACCTGAAAACATAACTCAAACAAAAGTACAAAACATAACCATTAATTTTGGATGGTAAACACCAAGGGCACACGAACATTTTACATTGAATGAAAAATAAAAATAATAAAATATTAGAATTGCCATCGGAATAATGGATAATCTCATAGATTTGGTTAAGCCAACTACCGACGACTTAGTGAAACATAATATTTCTTCAGAGCAGTGGCAAGAGTTCTCAACTTTACTAAAGCAAAGAACACATGTCTACAGAGAAGAAAGTAATTCGCCAAATACCATCAGTTGACTGGCATTGAATTTATATTTTTTAGATGCTCGGCTAGAAACAGTCCTCACCAAATTGAAAATTTTGAACAATGAAATTAAGCTGTTGGCAGATATATCAAATGATGTATCAAAACTTATTAGGCATTCTCTTACGGATATAATAGATATGAAACGACCATCAACCCATTACTCCACAACACTCACACAACCTGAAAGACTGAGGAAGCATAACAACTATGTGTCTAAATTGAAAATTTGTATCAAAATGTATGTTAATCTCAATGAAAGGCTATCAAAAGAAATCAAATTCATCAAATGGTAAGTTTATAATCAAGTCTAAATATTAACGTTTTTTCTTCATTTCAAAACTATTGAATTGCAACTGATATTTTGCTTTCTTATCATATTGACCTCATTTGAAAACGTTATTACTGGTTTTTGACCATGTTTTATGTGAAAATGTCAACATGTTATACATGGCTATGAGGCAAATTTCAACCTCTATTCTAAGATCTCTTTTCAATGGAATAAAAAACAAATTACAGTCCCCATGAGAAAATAAAAGTTGCATGGTGAATCTCAGAAACTAATGAAGATAGAATATTTCTGATGATCCCAACTTCTTCCTCCTGATTAATCACCTGCTTACACAAAATTTCAAAATCATTCTTTTTTAGGAACAGCAGACATTTTTTTATCTATTTCAATCAACTTTCTATCTCTTATGGCTTAGGACATAGCAATACTATCCCATTGAATCAATGAGACCATGTATAATATTATTTTTGGAATCTCCAACAATTTCCCAACAACTTCTCTTGATATTATCCCTATACCTATCTGTTACCTTTTTGTTTGGAAATAATAATATATAACAATTTTTTTTCTTCAATAATCATAACCTTTAGAAATGCTGTTGTCTTGAGTGATATATTTCAGTTAAGAAGTACTATAATACCTATTGAAAGGACCCCGCAAATTTTCAAGGTAATTTGGGTCCCGGTGGATTTTTCTCAATTTTTGGTATGATGTAGTTCATTTGATTCAATTACATATTGGCATTGCGCCAACCCCCAAAAATGAACAGTTTTTTTGCTAGGGGGGGTTGAATTCACATTTTGACCGAATTGATTATTTATTTCTGAGAGAATGAACAATATTCTAGAATTTTTTATTTAATCTAATTTCTCCTATGAATATATGCTTTTTGAAAAAAATATAGTGAGGGGGAATTATTACCACAAACTCCCATTTTGAAAAACGAAAAAAAAAGAGAATCCGCCTAACCGTCGAAAGTGATAGAGAATGTTCCATTCCCCAGAATTATGGAAACCGCCTTTTTGTATTATTGCCCCTCACCGAATGGGAGGCGCCCATGAAAAAAAAGTTCGGTGGATTTCGCTGAATTTTTGATATGATGTACTCTATATGATACTGATCAGAAAATAATTGGGTGACAATCCTGAAAAATGGACAGTTTTCCTGCTACAGGGGGTTCAATTCACATTTTGAACACATAAATAGACTAGATGAGTACCTATTTGATTCTGAACTTCTTTTCAATATATCATCTCCATTCCCTATATTCCCTAACAATTATTCATCAAAAAATATTTTGAGGGGGGGTTCCTACCCCTTCAAAAAGTATTTTGAGAAATATAAAACAAAAAAAAAACAGTGCTACTGTATCTAAAGAGCATAAGAGAATGATTAATTACGTGAAATTATAGCAAAAGCTCTCTTGCATGATTGCTCCCTCTCCACCAAGTGGGGGAGTGCGCATGAAAAACATCTTTGGTGCATGGATTTACACTGGATTTTTAATATAGGTATAATGTGGTTGTATTCCATGTGATTATGGCTGTGATGATGATTGAGAATGAGATAATTCAAATCTGAAAAGATAATAACTTTTCACTTATTATATCTCCCATTGGCTGAAAGACTCAGGTCAATAACCATTTGATTTCATTCGAAAAAACAATGAATCAGTTTGACAGTTACTAGGATACCTATACCTATCTGAATGAAACAATTGCTCATCCAACTTCCGAGGGCATAACTCACTGATTGATAGAATTGAAATGATGGTTTTTAACGGGATTTTTAATGATAGTAATAATAATGACTGGGATGGTGACTGTTTGATATTGAAAAGCGGTAACGACAGTAACTTATACCATAGATTTTGATTTTCATTTCATGAAAACGATAGAAATAAACAGGAAATATTTATATCAAGTTCATTGAGTGAAGAATATTTCTTAAATAAGTGTTGGATATATGAAAAAATAACTTGAATTTGATATCTATTATTTGTTTGAGAGGTGTTGGGGTGGGCGAAATAATGAGTTTTTTGTGTTGAAAAAAAAATAGTTAAAATACATATTACATAATTATTCTGTACCCGTCGAGGAAAATACACATTCTTCTCGAGGTAATCTCACAAAGGAGAAATATGAGTTCAACACGCCCTACCGAAAAAACTGCTCATTTTTGGTAACCGGTACCGATAATCGGAATCGGATTTGATCGGAATCACAAAAAGCACCTCATAGAAATTCAGTGGAAATCCATGCACCAAAAATGTTTTTCATGCGCACCCCCCACTTGGTGGAGAGGGAGCAATCATGCAAGAGAGCTTTTGCTATGATTTCACGTAATTAATCATTCTCTTATGCTCTTTAGATACAGTAGCACTGTTTTTTTTGTTTTATATTTCTCAAAATACTTTTTGAAGGGGTAGGAACCCCCCCTCAAAATATTTTTTGATGAATAATTGTTAGGGAATATAGGGAATGGAGATGATATATTGAAAAGAAGTTCAGAATCAAATAGGTACTCATCTAGTCTATTTATGTGTTCAAAATGTGAATTGAACCCCCTGTAGCAGGAAAACTGTCCATTTTTCAGGATTGCCACCCAATTATTTTCTGATCAGTATCATATAGAGTACATCATATCAAAAATTCAGCGAAATCCACCGAACTTTTTTTTCATGGGCGCCTCCCATTCGGTGAGGGGCAATAATACAAAAAGGCGGTTTCCATAATTCTGGGTAATGGAACATTTTCTATAACTTCTGACGGTTAGGCGAATTCTCATTTTTTTTCGTTTTTCAAAGTGGGAGTTTGGGGTAATAATTTCCCCTCACTATATTTTTTTCAAAAAGCATATATTCATAGGAGAAATTAGATGAAATAAAAAAATCTAGAATATTGTTCATTCTCTCAGAAATAAATAATCAATTCGGTGAAAATGTGAATTCAACCCCCCCTAGCAAAAAAACTGTTCATTTTTGGGGGTTGGCGCAATGCCAATATGTAATTGAATCAAATGAACTACATCATACCAAAAATTGAGAAAAATCCACCGGGACCCAAATTACCTTGAAAATTTGCGGGGTCCTTTGGTTTGGAGTTACGTGATTCTTGGAGGCTTTCCACAATTCAGCATTTATTTGTGATAATGTCCAATTAAAATGGTATCCATATGGTATTTGTTAAACAGGCCATGTTAACTATTTGACACTAACATGACATTTTTCTAATAATATCAACACTTTTGCCTCTTCAAAAGTTGCAAATATCTTCCAAATTGATTGAACAAAACTATTCAATATGTGGGGAATGTTTAAAGAAAAAATTAACAAATCACTCATGTTTCCCAGGCACGAATTACTGTTTACATTTGGGATTACCCCCAAACATTTAACAATTTTCTGAAAAATTTTGATCCAAATGAAATCAGATCTGACATAACAAAAGCAGTATAACTTTGAAGTGTTTGAATGTGAAAAACCAGCAAATCGGACATATTTTGAAATATACCACATAAAAATTAAATCTTATGATTTTTTATAATTATTAATTTATATCAATATCTCCACTTTCAAGTTTCTTGGTGCTCTTTCAAAGTTGATCCAAATGCATTGAAATTTGTTTTTTTGACGGTAGATTCAGATACATTTCATTGAACATTCTACATGTCCTGTTAATAATTGTAATAATAATAATAATAATCTTTATTTGAAAAAACAGCCAAGTACAAACACTAGACTTGTAAAAGGTTGTAGAAACAAACGGGCGTCACACAATATAGGCTACTATAAAACCATCACAAAAATGTATAGTACAAATAGAATCATAAAATAGATAAAAATACTGACTAAACAATTTATTCTAAGTTTGCCTGAAGGTAATCACTTATGGAGTAGGGCTCCAGGTTTATTAGAAGTTTCCAAATTTCTTTTTTGAAAATGTTTGGAGAGGAAAGAGACTTAATTCTTTCTGGTAACTTGTTGAAAAATTTGATTGAATTATATGAAGCATTTTTTTCTGTCTATGTGCAGGATAATTATAATTTATGTTTCTAGTGTTATAGACAATGGGCGTGTACACTTTAGTAGAACTTTCAACTCAAACCATGTTTATAATGATCCTTTTACACATAAATAATGATTGACGACATAATTCGATCGAAAAATTAACTGGAATGTTTTATTTTTGGACATAAATGATAGTACCTTCAGAAAACGGACCCTCTAATGACGTAGAAACCTCCTCTCGCCATAGTTAAAAGAAAATACCAAACGCTCGACGGAGACTGAGGCAACTGATATGATTCTTTCAACTGTGATCTCGCGCTAATTCACTCTGTCAGAAATCATGTATCATTCATCTCTGTCTGGAATAGTTCTTGTTTCAGTATAAGGGTTTTGACGTCACATCATCGCCTCGTTTTCAGAGGTCCGAAAAATCGGGGATTTCAATAATTTTTTATAAAACGTAGGGAGCTCACAGCAAGAAACGGTTTGCGGTGGTGAGCTAGTTTGGGTGAGTTCTATCGAATTATGAAATAAAAATGTTTTATGATATAAGCCCATTTGGGGTACATAATCAGAAAAAAATTTCCGATTCTTAGTTAAAAACAAGAGACATTCCTGAATATACACAGCAACAATTGTTAATATTTTAGCTGAACAAAACTTCCTCCTACATGATTCTCTATAATTTAATTTGTACATAATTCGTACAACCCTGTTCTGAATAATAAATAAGTGGTCTATAGAACTACTACCGCCATAGAATAATATACCATATCTGAAGATTGATTCAAAGCTAGCATGATACACAACTTTGAGGATACTAGAATTCAGATGCTTGGATAGTATTCTGATCGCATAGCACACTTTACATAATTTGCTAGCTAAATCATTAGTGTGGACATTCCAGTTAAGGTAACGGTCTATATGGATTCCTAAGAATTTGGTACTAGGTGCTATTTCCATCTCTTTATTATTCAACACAATATTACTA